ACCCAGGATAGCTGGGTGTATATTTCATCAATATGAATGGCTGAGGCTGGTTTCCATGGGATGATCTTGATTTTACTGAAGGTGTTATAATGAGAATGTAGCTGTTTTTGACACTCCTCCACAAACAGTTCTGTATGAAAGAGAAGAGAAATGAGTTTGAAATTAGAGGACTTGGGCCCAATTTTGACGAATTAATTATAACGAATTTACTTCAAAGAACCGACTAATTAAACACATGATTTACTCCCATACACTACAAAAAGGAAGAGATCTGAGGTAAGCTCAGTGGTAATTGGCTGAAAGTCTCTCAGTCGAACCTTAGTCCATTTCTGCCAGACCCTTCTCAGCCTTCTCCTATTTCAATTTGACACATACCGCAAAAATTACAATTTGAAATGTTGTCGTTATTTAGGTGACATGAAGGAGAGAATTTTTATTCTCCGATAAGTTACTTATAGTTTATTTTATGTTAGAAGTAAAGTGAAGCCTTGGAGCCGAATGGCTCATAGCTGCCGGAGCTTATCCCGGTTTCTGTACCATGAAGCGGCTAGGAGTATTTCTACTCCCCCCTGGACGGGATGCTAGTCCATCGCAGGTCACCCACGCAATTTGTTAGCTTTCCCCAACAATTCGCTGGTACCCATTTATACTCCTGGCTGGAGAGAAGCACTGTGGGAGTTAAGCGTCTTGCCCAAGAACACAACACACTGTCTCCGGCCAGGGCTCGAACCCTATTATATGTTACTAATTGATTTTTTGTAGATGAAATCTGATCTCGCATATTTGAAGGTTTACTAATTTGGAGGTTTTCTGTTTATCATTAGTGTCATTAAACAAAATTACTTTTTTGTACATGATATATGATATAACGTCAATCAAAGACCAATGAAACTTCACATTGATGTGATGGAGGAAAGACTGTTAAAAGGCTTTTCGAAAACTGAGCTAGTCTTGTTAGCTATGGTCCCCCAAAACTGTATCGAAACACTCACAATATAGATCTTCCTGCGTAAAATGTGCTGTAACCTGTTTTTCTAATACTTTTCTATCACTGTTAGAAAGAAAATTATCTTTAGCATATGTTTCAGTTTTCCCAAGGTGGCTGACAAAATAGAAAAAAAGAATACCACTTCTTCTCTGGTAAACTTACCAGCTCAAAAAATTAGAATGATCTGCTCAAAGATCGAACCAACTATGGAGAAATAACTGTGACTAGAGCATTCAGCATGCATGCAAGGTAATTGCAGTCTTGAGGTCAATTCAAGATGGGTGCGTACGCTGTACATATAATATTGTACCTCTTCCAGGTCGATATATTACATCTATATACAATAAGTTAAGTTTTCTTTACCCCAGTTTTCTGCTGCTACTAAACCTGGAACGAACGGTTCACATAAACATATCAAATGGAGCTAACACTGAAAGGAATTGTTAAGAGCCGCCCTCTGTAAATGTCAACTATGATCATTTGGACGAGAGAAAATCAAATTCCTGAAGCTTTCTCAGATGAATGGTCTAGATGAGTGATTCACATAAATATAACTTTCAGTTCAATTCGATCGGTATTGTACCGCTGGGGCGACCATCTTGGTTTTGCCCCTCTGAGAGGGCTTTAAGCGGCCATTTTAGGGCACATTTTTAACAATTTGCCATACAAAGAAAACGTTATAAATCCCGGTAAAAATACTTCATACGAGACAAGAAAATGTTTCTTGTTACGTTGAGAGGCTGTCCTGGCGATTTGACCAACATCTGATTTTTTTTACAGAATTTTAAATTTCTTCTCTTTCGAACTACTCCTAAAAGTGCCATAAAAAAGGCGAAATTTAAAGGAAAATATCGCCAAAAGTACATCACTTGAGATCCCAAAACTACCCTCCACTTACTTGTTCAGCCACTGAAATGCGTAAAATGGCTTTGTACCCCGTTATTACATTTTCATTTCCTACCCACCCTACCCCTACCCCTACCCATTGGAATGTGCACTTGTTATGTGTAACGCAATCCGTGGAATAATGGCAACTGCACAACAGATTGAAAGAGAACTGAGCTTAAACGAGTTCTTGATGAGAATCCTCGACTAAAAAGAAGATTTAAAGGTTGCTAACAGACTTTTGGGTCAGTTAGGATCTCAGCAAATAGTTAAACTTCTTGTAAACGGCGACTTATGAGACGAAAGACAAACAATATTGATAGATGTTGTGAAGCGGGCTTCGGAGAGTTGAAATCTGCTTTACCGTTGCGATGTCTCAGAGTGCTTTCGTACACTAATCATTGACTGATACGGCTGAAACCTACTGATAATATAAAATGAGGTATCGTGGAACACCCAGTTGTCGACATGTCGCGAGGTAAGTGGAATATATCATTATTTTTCTTTGTGCATCGTTATTTTCACGTCATTATGCTAATTAAGACGGCGGTTTTTGTTGACAAAATCACAGCTTAAACTTCTTCTAACATTTTACAGTTTCAACTGCTCCAAAATTTTATCGCATATTTTTACAGGTGANGAGTAGTTCGAAAGAGAAGAAATTTAAAATTCTGTAAAAAAATCAGATGTTGGTCAAATTGCCAGGACAGTCTCTCAACGTAACAAGAAACATTTTCTTGTCTCGTATGAAGTATTTTTACCGGGATTTATAACGTTTCCTTTGTATGGCAGATTGTTAAAATTGTGCCCTAAAATGGCCGCTGAAAGCCCTCTCAGAGAGGCAAAACCAAGATGATCGCCCCAGCGGTACAATACCGATCGAATTGAACTGAAAGTTATATTTATGTGAATCACTTATCTAGACCATTCATCTGAGAAAGTTTGAGGAATTTGATTTTTTCTCGTCCAAATGAACATAGTTGATAATTACAGACGGCGGCTCTTAAAGTACTATTAATTGAACATCGTGTCCGAATTCGTTGATATGATGACGAATTCTTATTCCTGTTTTATATGTCGTAGTTTCAAAAACAAGGTTCCTTATCCCATCCTTAACCCATTTTCCCCACCAAATTTCAAAACCAAATATCCTGCACAATTTCCGGGCACTTTTGTCATCAGGTACCTCCCTCCAATCAAGACTAGCTTTGGTTTCGCTATTCAGTTTGCAGTAGTCGCCCGCTTTAGAATCAAGTCATCACTATTGTCTCTGCCATTTCCTGCTGGTTAATGTTTGCAGTACATGTAACTCAACTGAAAACGTTCTAAAGTATTCAGTTAAAAAAAGACTGAAAAATGAGACTAAACTTCAGCGATCAAGTCATTTACTACAGCGTCTCACGGATATTTCTAAATAATAAAGGACTCGTTTCTCACCTTTCTTCACTGGAAATTCCATCACTTCGTGGCCAGCAAGATGCCTGAGATCATAATAACATTGGTCAATTAACTTTTTATTAACTTATCAATTAACAGCTATTTCCTTCGGAGATTTTCTGTTCGTGGTTACTGACCTCCCACCCATCTATCTGGTACGACATCCTTAGCTATAGAAAGAGGTTGTACATTAACGAGAAAGGGTACAGCTTGTCTGCAGTCTCCCTTTATGGTCTATTTATCAATTGAATTTGTAAAGATACAGCTGTATGCGATTTAAACCAAAAGAGATCAATGCCCAGGTATGTGAAGATCTCAAGGAAGAAAGAAAAAAGCTGATTTAGTTGTAAGTTGTAAGGAAATGTAATTCACCTTGATTGGCATATAGAGCAAAGAAGGAAGTCCGGGCACTCATAGCAGCAAAATCGTCTCCCAAGTATAAAACCTTTACAATCACCACACTTAAATCTGAAACAATGGAACATGAATCACATTATTAGAGCTTGTAAGCTTGAACGCGGCATTTAAGTGAGTCGGTTGGCAGGTCACACAGCCAGGCAGGAAGACAGGTAGTGGGCGCAAAAGAAGTTTATTTCAAACAAAAAAGAAGAAGTATTCGGACATTAAAAGGCCTTTAGCTAGAACCGAGCTATTTTCTCTTTTGCCTTATCTTGAAAAACAATGGCTATCACCCCTTTAAAAAGCGGTTCAAAGAGTCATACAAAACAATGCCATGTTTTATCATTAGAACTAGCAGGCTGACATTATGTCTGCAACTACAAATGTGCCATTTTGGTTTTGGTATAACTCTCGGAAAAGGACACATAAAGTTAAACACATTTTATTGCAGCTATTTTTTCGCTTTCCCATGAGCTCTTTTCGTTTATTACACAAGCTTCTTTCTCCTCTTTCTTCCTTTTTCTTTCATAAAAATATATGTTCTTGGAGGCATTTGGAAGCAGTCATACAATATAATAGGAATATAATAAATAGCAGGCTGAAGCTTAAACGCGTGAAGAAACACACAAGACCATGTTGGTGTAAAGGCTAAGTTTGCTGTTCCGCTACACATTTCACTAGCTATTTTCTTGGCGAATTGAAGGATTTTTTACTTACACAAAATTCATTCACTGAAATTCTCTGCCGTCGGAATCCCCGAAATAACGTAATGTGGTCAATTTCGCGTGGCCTAACATAGACACGTCTAGGATATTAACTTTCTAAGACAATACTCACTAAAACGATTGTACCTTAAGGTTACAGTATACCTTCAGGGGTGTCTCGCACGCAAGCGATGTAGCGCGTGCAGTTTAAGCTGTA